TAAAAAGCATCCCACACCTGAGCACTGTTCTGTACGCTCCACTTAACTTTATAGCCACCATCAATTAGTTTAATGTTCCCTTTACCTTTTTGTCAGTACTACCCCCTAAGTTGAGCCAGCTCCCACAAGGAGCCTGATAAATTCAAAGAGGAAACCTGTGATGTGGCTTCCTGCAATTAGGTCATTAAAGTTACACACTCAAATCCCTTTCAGTCTTAGAGCCTGTGACATCGTCTTCTCTTAAATCGCACTTTAGAACTCATCTGTGGCATAACGTCTTTAAATAATTCAGCCGCAGCCAGGCAGTTGGGCTGATCATACCCAATTAATCCTGATGATTCTTCCTTCACCTGCCACTTTACTACTGAAAGAACAGACAGAGCTCTTGAAGCCACAGTTGGCTTTATTTTATTTTTTAACTCACATGGATAGTACCCAGCTCTGTTGGGCCTCTGGCTGCTTTCCGATGCCTCTGGCAAAAGGCAAAATACAGCAGGACGCCCAGGAGGAACAGGTGACAGTACATATGTGGCAGTCAAAATTCAATATTAATGACATTATTCTAACTTTAAGTAAATTTTGCAAGTTGTTATGTTCCAAAGTAACGATCCCTATGCAAAACAGAGATCTGTACATCTTTGCCAGCTGTCTTTTTTGAGCAAAACTTAAAAAAACACAGTATTTTTGTGTCACTGCTCACAATGAAGAGAATGCTTGGATGGCAGTCTACGTGTTAATAAGATATCTCACATCTAATGACACAGGTAACAAGTCATCTTATCTCAATCTCTTATCTGTTGTCTGAAGCAAAAATAGGAAGGATTTAAGGAAGAGCAGCAAAAGTGGCTAGAACCATAGGCAGATTCTCGTTATTTTTTTCCCTAAATAAGGGTCTCATAAGGAAAGCACAGTTACAAATATTTGTTTACCAGTTCTCCAATGAAAACAAAAAGCAATAGATTTAACTCTGCTAATAAAAAAAAAAAAATCTTTTTGTATATGAAGGTAGCAGAACATACTGAGACAGGATCAGAACCCAAAAAAGAAACAATTTCACCAGTTCCTTGAGAAGCCCGAAGCTATATTCCAGATGCTTGCTGCTGTAAATGCCAACATAAGGACATACTATCGCAAAAGCAGTCATGTTGTAGGTGATGCACATTACTCATGGACAGCGATAGCTCAAGGCAATATTTCACATACCTGGAAACATCACTAAGTTTGATCCAAACTGAAACACAGCGCTGAGTTGATAACAACAACAAATTCACACCCATGATTCTTCTGACTGAGAATTATAAACCCTCGGGTACCACACACGGCTCCTTTGACTTTTAAGTATTTTTTAAAATTGATACTACTCTCCATGTTTTCAACAAAGGAAATCTACAAAGATTAGTTATATCCGCTCTTCATATTCTACAAGATAAACCCTTCTTACAGGGATAATAGTGCATGCAGGAAGGGTAAGGCACTTGTCATCCAGACATTCACATCAAAACAGACCCCCAAAACTGAACACTATGGAGGCTAAACTGGCCTGAACATCAACCCTGCTAAAATAAGGAGTAAGCTGTAATGTTTAAGCACTTAGTGTTAAACAATAGCACTTACATTTGACCTCGTTCCGTTTGCTTGGGTGGGAGGATGCTGGTTTTTTCCTTTATTATTATTATTTTGCCTAAGTTGGTGTACAAAAGGTTGGATAATTCAGCATACAAGCACTGGGAGCCAGAAAAGATTAGTTAAAAAAAAAAAAAACAAAAAAACCCCCAAAAACACGCATCTCTACTGCTTGCCCTCTAGCATACAAGAGTCAAGCCAAAACTCCTGAGAAACCCTGAAGAAGGAATTACTACACCATACAATATATTTGATCAGTGAGGGATATGAGAGTCATTGTAGGGCTTAACATAGTTAAGCTGGCAAAATAAATCTTTTCAACTGTTTTTCCATTTCAATTGGTTTAATACTCCACAGAATGACGTAGAGCAGTTAGTCATCCACCTCCGCAAGGGAGGAAAACTGGCTAGGTGCAAACTCCGAAAGGCAAGAAAAAGCATTTTTCATTATTAAAAAAATGAATCTTTGAATACAGGTCATTGTGTTCGGGGTACATCAAAAGAATGCAAATATGAAGTGCTACAAAAACACCTTACCTCACCTTCACATCTCTGAATATGTACAGCTGATTAGCTGCCGTAATTTACACTAGTTCTTTAAGGAGTGAATGGCAAAGAACTGCATGTGGGCTTCTGGAACACAATGTAGCAATTTGTACTAAAATTAGCATATTAAAAACAAATTGCTAAATGGCACAAAGAGGTAATTTGCACAACAAACTTTCAGTTTGGCTCTTCATCCTGCAACCTAAGGAAAACATAATATTTGATTTGGACCTGCCAGTATCTTTCAAGCTTTGGGCCTCCAACAGTTTCTTATAAATTATTTACAACTAGCACTTAATGCAAAATTTTTAACTATACCATCAGCTTAACTGAGTGGCACCAAAACAGCGAGAAATCAGAAACCGATTTTCACTCTTCTGTAAGGTAACGCTTAAAATAATACAGGCTATACGTGAGTTTTAAAAACAGTATCAGCAACGTCACAAATTACCACAATGAGGACTCAGAGAGAGAGATGAGAAAGATATTTCTGTACTTTCTGGTTTGTTTGCTCTCTGAATTTGAATTTTTGATAGAGTAAGGAGGCCATAAAGGCACAGCAACTGACGGAAGACCGCTGGGCCACACAGACCCCGAATACACTCTCAGCTGAAGCAACTAGCTTTCAGGGTAACATCTCTCTGATATTCCAAAGTAATTAGCGTCACATTAAGTATTTTAGAGAAAGTTGGGAAAGACCCCTTAGTTGTTTTATTAAAGATACGTTGCCAACCAGCTTTTGCTTGCTAAGAGTTAAATGCAGTGGGTTCATATCCTCAAAAAAAAAAAAAGAAAGATTTTTTCCTCTGGCCCTTAAAGTGCAGTTACAGAATTATTGCTAAAGAAAATCTAAACCATCTTGAATCTCTACTGAAATTATCTACTGTTAAGCTAACCCTAAAATAAAGTGGGCTTATTCACTGTGTTGCTTTTTAAACTTGGACCATTTACATGTTTTAATTTACAGCACAGCCCTTATGCATGTTTTTTTCAGCGCAACTGACAGACCAACAAACTGCGGTCCCAAACACTTAAAATCATAAGAAGGGACCAGACCTTCTATAATTAGTCCCTTTTTCTTCAGAACACACACGTTTCCACCTACCACCATTAATTTCATCCTCATCTGCCTTCTCCTGCAAAATCTAGAAGTGATGAAAAGCATCGGTCCACAAGACCAACAATATGGGGATTATTTCAAAAATTTACATGCTAGTCAAATTTATTTTTACATGGGTGAAGCAACAGAGCTTCCTCTTCCCTATGAGGATTATCTCACAAATTACTTTTACCACGAGGAAAACACAAAAATACATGCTCTGCAATGGTATCGTTCTATTTAAAAACTCTCAAGTTTGTCCCGTTTTAAGAGTACTTTATTTTGTTCCCTCTTCAGCCGGCCTGCCTCTTCTCAGCCATAAATCTACACACCAACTTCCTTTTTCCTCTGAGTTTCTCTGCTGCCTATGCTACTGTTATTCAGATCCTGTACTCCTTCCCATTCCCACACTCTGAAACCTCTTTCACAACTATTCATTTTGGTCCTTCACCCATGTCAGTGTTTGTAACCAGGACTCACAGCCTGGCATGGACGCCCAGAACCTTCCATCTCCTGCGTGCCAAGCTCTTCCCAAGCGCTGCTGAAGCATCCCAGCTATGCAAAAAGCCTCCTCAGATTGCCCACTCCAAGCACTTCAGGGTAGGTGAGCCTGTTCACTTTAGTATTATTTTCCTAGGGTCTTAACACTTCAAAAGCAGACGCCTATCTTATACGTGTGAAAGCTTTTTGTAGGACAGGGCGTCTCTCAGATGGCAGCACGTAACTACAACTACTACACCCTTTAAAGTCACTGCCCAGGACACAACAATATTTGATTTTTCAGCAAAACATCAGTGACAGAGGGCATGATCCTTTACCAGCTATCACAGTATACTCCCTTCTCAAGCACCTGCTGCATGACCCTGTAGTTGAAGCACCTTCTTCTTTCCGTAAAATGCTGCTGAATGTATCTAAATTCCTGGCTGCCTCTGAATAGCAGAGTTTTGAGGTCAAAACAACGGCCTGCTCTCTTGCTGTTGCTCCAAGCTATCCTAAAAGACAACCACCTGCAACAGAATGAGCCATTGAGCTATTGTAACTCCCACCACCTGCAACAGAGCAACCTGATGATGGTCAAGACCCACCAAAGCCCAGCTGGGCGAAGGCATCTCTCCTGGACGAAGATGTCTCTTCCATACAAAGATACCTTCTCTCTCCCTGAACAGTTCCACATGGTTTGACCATCCGTGGCTGAGCAGATGCTCCCGTCTCCTCTCAAGGGGAGCAGAGCTGCAGACCCACACGGCTTTACAGCATGGCACCCAGAGCACGATTTCAGTGAAAACTCCCCTCTTCACCCACACAACCACCCCTGCTCCAGCGCCGAGCCCCTTGAGACCCATCTCACCCGGCCACCCCACCTCAGCCGTCCCTTTGATGCCTCCCCAAGCCCCTGGACACCCACCTCCTGCCCCACCATCGCTTAAAGGGACAGACTTGGGAGCGGGGGGCCCAAATAACAGCCTGGGGCACAGGGAGAGAGGGGGCTACACCACCTTAAGACAGGGATTTGGAGGGAAAGGGGACAGGGAAACAGCCGTTTCCACCCGCCGGAGCTGGCTGAGGGGCAGGGGCCCCGTCACCCCGCCATTTGCCCCCCTCAGGAAAGAGGGGCCGTGGAGGAGGGGGGATTCCCCTGCCCTGGGGCCTAGTCACTGGGGTGAAGGCACGGAGGGCTGGGAGGGGGGTGACCGAGGCGGCGGCGGGACGCCGGGGCCGGGGCGGCCACTCACAGAACTCGGCGATGTAGTAGGAGACGGCGTAGTTCTCCTCGCACCACTCCAAGGTGGAGGTCGGCGGGCCCCAGTAGCCCTCCCGGTCGGCGGCCGGAGCCATCGCGGAACCCCGCTTCAGGCCAGAGCGGAGAAGGGTGAAGAGGGAGGAGGGAGAAGGGAGAAG